GTTTGCAAGAAAAGAACCAAGCTCAGAGGACCCCAAGGACTCCACAGTTCAACCCTGAGCTACACATATTCGCCTCTGTTGGCATTTTAGAACTCTTATACAGTAAAAAGAAAGGGAGAAAAAAACAAAGCAAAATAAAAACCATTATCCAATCTGGGACATAAAATCTTAAACCATTCTGGTGCTTTTGATTTAAAGGTATTTTATTCATGCAGCCTTATACTGGATTTGAAGAAAAACTAAAATCTTGTTGGCTACACCTTTTTTCTCTTTCCTATACTGCAGCTGTCCTGACCTTAATCTAAATAAGTAGATTGAAAGGTTAATATACTTCAGTTGTTGATTCTCTTTGCCTGTAACAGGAATGGTGCGTTATATGGGAAATAAAAACTTGTTTTTGTTGTAGTTGCTAGTTGAGAGAGGTGTTCAATGTCAGATTGTTTTTGTAGGACATATTTGGAGGAGGAATTGACTAAAGCACGAGAAAAACCAAAGCTCCGTAAAGACATGTATAAGAAAATGGTAGATGTGGACCCTTTGGCACCCACTGCCGAAGAGAACACCCAGCATGCAGTGACCAAACCTCGGTACATGCAGTGGAGGGAGACCATCAGCTCCAGTGCAAACCTAGGCTTCAGGATTGAAGGGATAAAGGTAAGATATCTTTCCTGGCCTTTCCTAATTGAAGCATTCATTCTGGTGTGCTTTTCAGAAGCTTCTTTAGTTAATGTGTCATTCATGGCCACACCCGGGTGACATTGTCTGGTCTCAGAAGCTAAGCAGGATTGAGCCTGGTTGGTAATTGTATGGGAAGCCAGCAGGAAATAGAAGCATGTAGATTAGACTGGAAAGTAAAAAAATAAATAAAAGCGGCAGCAATGGCAAGCTACTTCTATAATGCTACCAAGACAGCTGCACTATTGGGTCCATGTAGTCACCAGGATTGTACTTGACTTGAAGGCATCTGTAACAGATATCGATGCCCTCAAGGCAAGTTGCTTGAGACATAAAACCCCATCAGACACACACAACATAACGGCAGTTTAGCAAACTAGTGTCTTTAGCTGATTTGGGCTTCAGTTTTTACAGTTACAGACAGTCTCCTACTTACAAATGGGTTACATTCCAAGAGGCTGTTCGTAAGTCCAACAAGCAAAAAAAAAAAGAGAAAAAAGCGCAGTTTGCCCCTTACATAAGCATCACCATTGACCTAGGCTCTTGCGGCAATGGCATAGGCCCTTGTGGAGATGACATAGGCTTGTCCTCTGTACTTTTTTTCCACTTTCCTGAAGAAGTGGCCCAGTGAACTTTGGGTGGTGGTCTTCCTCTTCTTCTCCTAAATGATGCTGTAGCACTTGATTGCATCATGGACAACTGTAGACACCTTGGCGAAGCGCTCCATATTAGGGTACTGCATCTCAAACAGTGATAGCGCTTTCTCAATCAAGCTGAACCCCTCCTCCATCAGCTTGGTCTGGAACTACTTCAGTAGTTCGATCTCTTCCTCTTCCTCTTGTTTTTGCTGCTCCTCCAACTCCATGAGGTCTTCATTGGAGAGGTCCTCTGTCTGTGCAGCTAGCAGCTCATGAAAGTCCCCCTCCTTCAGGTCGAGCTGAGGGCAACCAAGTTGCTGATAACAGGCTGCAAGAGCCTGCGAGAGTCTTAAATGAACTGAGGGCACAGATGTTTCCACACCCCATTCATGTTTGCAGGGGTAACCTCATGCCAGGCTGCATCAATGTTCTTGATGGCCTTGTAGATGTTGTAGGACTTCCAAAACTGGCGCAAGGTCATCTCTGAGTCCACTTCGGTTGCCTGGACTGCCTGCCTAAATGTTCACTGAATATAGTATTTTTTGAAGGTTGCTATCACTCCCTGGTCCGGGAGGGAAGTGGTGTTGGGAGGCAGATACACAGCCTTCACGTTCGGATGGAAATTGTTCAAGTAAGGAGGATGACCCAGGGCATTATCCAATATCAGCAGAATCTTGAACTCGATGTTTTTTGTGTGGCAGTACCTCTCCACTTCCAGGATGAAATGGTGGAAAAACCAGTCCTCAAAGATGATGAGGGTGACCCAAGCTTTCTTGGTTAGCCTTCCACACGACAGGAAGTGAGCTTTTTGAGATGTTCTTGAGAGCTCTCAGAGTGGTAGACTAGCAGTGGTTTTAGGCTCAGGTCACCAGAAGCATTGCCACCTAGCAGCACAGTTAGCCTATGCCTTGCAGCTTTGAAGCCTGGCATGGTCTTCTCCTCCTTGCTGATGTATGTTCTGTCCGGCATTTTCTTCCAATAAAGCCCCGTTTCATCCACATTGAATATTTGCTGGGGCAAATAACCATCTTCCTCAGTGATCTCCTTGAGGGCTTCCGGGAACTCCTTGGCTGCAGCCTCATCAGCACTTGCTGCCTCACCACTGACTGTCACGTTATGAAGATTCATATGAGCTTTAAAGTGGTGGAACCACCCATGGCTTGCAGCAAACGCCTCTTCAGCAGCACCTTCACTTGCCTTCTGTTGTAGGTCATGGAATAAGTAGCCTTCTCCTGGATCATCATTAGGCTAAGTGGCACACATCACTGATGCTGTTTTTCAGTCTACGTGCCGAGCAACGCCCCCATCTCTTCCATTACTTTTCTTCTCATCTTGCATATTATTGTGGATTGCATAGGCACTGAACTTTTCACATGTTCCTTGATCTTGTCTTTGTTCTTAATGATCATTCCGAATGATTCATGCCGTAGGAATGTGCCACGTTCACCATCTTCTCCCCCACCCTCTGTTTTCTTCAATATCTCCATCTTTGTGAGCAACGTAATGGATTGCCACTTCTTCACACTACCCACCTCCCCTTCAGGACTCTTATGCTTAATTGCAGACATTTGCAGTTAAGCAATTTGCAGTTGCCACACACCAAACACAACCGACCATGCGAGAAGTCAGGGCCAGAAGTCAGCACCGGAAGTCAGGAGATGGCGGGAGAGGGTTACTTTTCGGTGCGCTTTCTCCGGCCCAACTTCCGGTCCAACTTCCGGCTCCAGCTTCCGGGTCCATCTTGTTCATATTGGCCGAAGTTTGCAACTTGAAAGTTTGTATGTAGGGGACCTTCTGTACTTGCCATTGGCTAAATTAACTGAGGCTGATGAAAGTTGTATTCCGTACAGTTTATAGAGCATCAGATTAACTAGCTGAATTAGGTTTACCAAGAAAAACAACAACAAAACAAAACAAACATCATCAACAAAAGGGAAGCAAAAGGGAAATGGATGTGATTGTTTCTGGCCTGGGAAATAGTCATCTGTGTTAGAAAGTAGAGTTTAAATGTGAACTTTGATGCTAATAGATTTCCATATCCCACTATATGTAGATACTCCGGTGCTAGTGGTGGGGAGAAAGAACCTGAACTTGGGTCTCTCTGGGGCCAATCCAGCACCTTGACTGTTATTGCACCATTGGTTCTCATGCTGATGAATGGTTTTAGAATCCTGAAAGATTGTCTCTGTATGTATTTTCCCAGCATATAAGGCTTTGATGCTAGCGAAAACATTTGGAGGATACTGTCAGATTTTTTCTACTGTGAATTTTATGCAGGTATTTAATAGCTAGTGTGCCATCTGGCAATAGCCAGAAAGGATTCTTCCACTGCACTCACTGAGTTCATTGGAGTTCTGCTAGATTTCTCTGCCCACGACGTGCTCAGCAATTGCATAATGTTCTTATGTCTTGTCAGGCACATGCATTTGGGTCTACGCCAGACTCAGCATCTTGGAGCAGAAGTTGTTTATTCTGAAGGAGGAGAAGCTATCAAAGGGGAGGGTATTAGATGCAAGCCTGCCATGTATCATAAATTTTGCTTAGAAGTAATTGTATCAGTATGAATATACAGAAAGTCAGATTTCACTGGGCATTCATCTACAGAAAAAGCTAAAATATATCCAGATGCATGATTTTTTTTTACTTTGCATATTTCATAAACAGAAATATGGTTTTAAAATGCAGTATTCTTTCTACCCATGCTAACAGTCATCATCCCCCCTCCCCTCCAGGTTTCTAATGAACTGAATGCAGAGTTACACTTAAGGGCAAACTGATTAAAATAAATGGGACTTTAAAAAGGCTAAAAGAATTCCCACTTATTTTGGTGAATCTACTTTTAACCATGACTCAGTATAAATTATGTTCTGAAATGTATCTTGTATCACAGAAAGATCGTTTTTGCTTATTTATCTTTCTGCATTTCTCTTCTGTTTTTCCTCTCAGGGTCTTAACCCCACCCTTCCCTATTCCCACTTTTGCAACAGCCATGAGAGATTAGACTGAATGTGAGTGGCCCAAAGGCTTCCAGGAAGTTTCATGGTAGTGTGAATTTGAACTTGGGGTCTCTAGTGCAACAGTTTAATCCCATCTCCTCTGGATTAAACTCACTCTGACTCCCCTTAACTTCCCAGTTCAGACTGGAACTGAATTGCAACCAGAGCTGTCAGCATATGCATTGGCAGGATGCCAAGCTAGGGAGGATTCTGTGTGCGTGCGTGTGTGTGCACGCGCACATGCATGTATGCATGCTTTCAAGTCAGTGTTGACTCCTGGTGACTGCCTGGAGAAGTCCCTGCAGTTTTCTTGGCAAGATTTCAGTAGTGGTTTGCCATTGCCTCCTTCCTAGAGCTGAGAGAGAGTGACTGGCCCAAGGTCCCCCAGATGGCTTCATGTCAAAGGCAGAACTAGAACTCAGAATCTCCAGGTTGCTAACCTGGTGTGTTAACAATTACACCAAACTGACTCTCTTTTTAGTAGGGAGGACTACTAATCAGTTATGCTGTAAGATGTAAATTTTTGTGGATAATATACAAAATTGGTTTTACCATATCAGTGGAGCTACTTAGTTGCATCAGAAGAAGAGTTCTCCACCTGGGTATGTGCTGGGTACACTGTTTGAGTACATTGCTTGAGACTTTCTCCTTTCTTTAGTCTCTTTCCTCGTTTCTTCTTTCCACTGCCTGCAGAATGACTTCCCCTCCTCCTCTACCTTTTTCATATTTGCAGAAGGCTGATGGGACTTGTAATACCAACTTCAAGACAACAAAGACACGAGAACAAGTTTTCCAGGTTTTTGTGGAATTCATTAAGGGAAATACAGCTATATTGGTAAGTTAAGCTTAGAAAGTTTGGGATGACAGTTCTAATTCTTGATTAGGGCTTCCTGACAGAGAGGAATTGCCCAAACAGGTGGGGGATTTTGTGGATGATTTCTTATAGGAAGCCAGGATGTCATTACTACCATCAAAAGAGATCTTAAGATTTTTTTTTAAAACTCTCTTTGAATTTTTCCTTCAAATCAGTGCCATACAGGGGCAGGGTGGTGGTGCAGGTGGAGGCAATAAGAGGGTGCTGCCAAAGATGAGAAGAAGGCTGGCAGCAGGAGGAGAGTGTAGTCACTGCTGCCAGGATGCCACTCAGTTGTTTGGTGGTCAGTAGTGTGGTGCAGCAGTGGCAGAGGAAAACGTGTGTCTTCAAATCAGTTTTAACTCTTGATGACTCTCACTTCCAGCTTTCTTGGCAGCATTTTTCAGAACTGGCTTGCCACTGCCTCCTTCCTAGGGCTGAGAGAGACTGACTGGCCCAAGGTCACCCAGCTGGCTTTGTGCCTAATGTGGGACTAGAACTCCCAGTCTCCCGGTTTCTCGCCTGGTGCCTTAACCACTACACCAAACTGGCTCTCAGTGATGGAGGAAGGGGGTGTTAACCATTGTGTTAATCGTCCTTTTGCCTATGTGACAGTAATATTTTAAAATGATTCACTGTTTCCCTTCTCTTTTGGACAGAAAAAATATTTAAAGCGTCTGTATGAAATTCGAGGCATCCTTGAGTCTTCCGACTTCTTTAAGCGACATGAAGTGAGTTGTGAATGATTGCTCTGGTACCTAATGGTATATTGAATTGAACATCCTCAACATTATCTGCCTTCTCTTCAATAGTCTCAAGAAATTGTAAATATATAATGTGCCAAAATGTAACATGGAGATCATCTAGTTCCAGTGCCTTTCTCCAGTACAAGGTCTCTCTTTCCTAAACTTTCTGTGGATTGGCCTAAAACCAAATTATGGTGCACCCCAAAAGAAAGCTGGAATGGCATGCTTAGCTAAACAGTGTATAGCTAAGTCCTGCTGCTTGTCTTATAGATATGCAAGGAACCCAATTCAAGAATCTCTTGATGGCTGTGACTTCAAAAACTGAATTATATGCCTGAATAAGTTACCTTGTATCTAATATCACAAACAAAAGATTAAAAGATCTCCATTGCCTCGAACCCATTGCCTTCAATCTTATTAGCTATTTAGCTCTGTGTATAGTTTTCAGGTGAAAGACATTAAGATACCATTTATACTGTATGTTCCTTTTTTTCATCTTGAAACTGAAACTAAACTAGTGAATATAAAATAACCCTGGTAAAGATGGCTTATGGCTGTTTCATGTATGAATTAAGTAATTACCTACCATTATCTACTATAAGATAAACAGTATCATCGAAAATGACCCAGGAAGTGTGTCTTCTCTATTACAGTGACATCCCTCCAGAGACAGATATGGCTCCCAGCTCAGTGATGTTCAGGAAACACTAAAACTTGATTGTTCTTCCAGTCCGTGGGATAGGGTGGTTGTGGAGTCCCCATTAGTTAAGTTTGGCTCTATATTTGATTGTATTTTTCTTCCGGTCAGCTATGATGTCTTTTTATATGTACAGGGTTTTTTTCTTTATTTGTGAGCTGCCCAGAGTTGCTAACGAGTTAGGTGGCCTCAAAATTGGATAAATGAATACATTCCCCAAAGTCCAGTGATCTGTTGAAATAAGTCTTTTTTGGACAGAAACATGCAGAACATTTGTGGGTTTTATTAATCAGAGGAGATTAAATGCACATGTTTCTTTATAATCTGCTGATGCGTTGGTTCTAAGTATATGGAGAATGGAATCACCCTCAGCCAATATTTACATGTGATAGCAGGTTTCAGGGAGTTTTATAAAATAGGTTTTGGTCTTCATCTCTGTCTCTTTCTATTCTCTGCAGGTAATTGGAAGTTCATTGTTATTTGTGCACGATGAAAGTGAACATGCCAATGTGTGGCTCATTGATTTTGGAAAGACTACCTTTCTTCCAGATGGGCAAATCTTGGACCACAGGGTTGCTTGGCAAGAAGGGAACCGGGAAGATGGCTATTTATTTGGACTGGACAATTTAACTGATATCTTAGAAAGTATATTGGAGAGATGAGAAATACTGACTCGAAGTTGCTAACTTTTCTAGAATTGCTTACTAAAAGCCTTTTAAAATTCTTCCAAGACTCTGGGAAGTCCAGAATAGGGAAGATTCCAGCAAAAAAAGATGGAAATTTCTAACCAGCCCATGAAACCTAAGCAGTTCAGAGGCTATTCTTGAATGCACCAAGCAAAAATAAGATTTATGGAAGAAATAGGGTGATTGTGAACATTTGGATGATGACCAGGACAGTTGCTCACACATGAACCAACTAATTCAGTATTGACCTTGGGCTTAGAGTAAAAATATATTTATATCAGAGCTCTCTTTCAAAGAAGACATCTTCAGAACCAACAAGCAGGCTTCCTTCCTTTCTCTGGCGTTTACACTATAAATATTCCCTGTGTTCACATATGTGCAGCGCAGCTTGGAACTTGGTGCAGAATATATAGATTCATAGTTTTTCTTTTTTAAAACAAATACTCTAGTTTCTATTCTTGTACAGAAAAAAATGAAAATATGCACAGAATGCTGCTGAAGCTTCAGAAACCAAATGGCTTCTAGTAGACAATGCAAGAGTTCATTCTGGAACTCTGTCTAACTTTCTCTTCCTTTGACAGTCCATGTTTCCGTTGTATTGGTTTTTTCATTCCAGTCCCTGCAAAAATATTATGTACTTTGTCAATACAAACACCCCCTCTAAATATTGCATACCAAATTAACCTGTTACCTTGCTAACAACTACGTATAGATAGATTTTTAAATGGTCACATATACAGAACTCTGGGTATGATTGAAATCAAATGAATTTGTACAAAGGACATGAATTGCCATGTTTAGTTTGTTTCAGAATTTGGCTTGAGTGAGTATCTGATTGACCCTCCCTGATAGAGATACCTCACAGTCGTAAGGGCTAAAAAGTAAAGATTTTGGTTCCTATCTAATGTTGCGCTGATGTCTCTATGATTGCTCATATGTTCTAAAGGTAGCCTGCGACTGATCTTAAGGATCCTAAATTTAAAATTCTTGTAATCCAAGAGATTGTAGAGTCCAGGAAGAAAACACCAATGTACTGTATTTGTGTTTTGAGGTAGCTTCAGGATAGGTTCAGCGAGTTTGGTGATAATCCAGAAGTGACACGTAATCAATCACAATGTATTTGAATGTTTGTGGAATCATACCTTAATGACTGAGTTTATGAAATGAAACAATTATTAATTTATATAGTTGGCACAGACTTGTTTTACATCCAGGGATCAAATCTTCAGCCTTGTTACATAGTGATAAAATAGTATGATCACATGTGGCTTCTACACTTTGCACTTCTGCTTGAGTCTACTAGCAGGTTTTTGCAAGGTATAAGGGAAAATATTATCTTGATCTAAAGAGATGTGGGAGAGGGGTTCAAGTCTTTGATGCTTAGGCTTTGTATTAAAGATCCACTCTGTAGATCAGTTGAATGTGGTATTTTTTATTGATTGTTTAGGTAAAGGCTTAGGAAGTGAGTGTAACAAAAAATAAATCTTGTATTAGTAACCCCTGGTTCTTGTGATTTGAGATAGGCTTGAAGTCACACTGATCAAAAATTAAGATGGGTTGATTTTGCAGAGTATATTCTCCTGTGTTCAACAGCCCAGCCGTATAAATTCACTGTTTATGTGACACTAACATTTGCCGTATACTATTATGATTCAAGGTTTTGTGTGTGTGCTTGCTTGGAGTTCTCTTAGGCCATATAGCAAAACTGAATATATCCTCTGTTCAATAAGAGAGGAAAAGAGTAGTCATTATGTGCCAGTTGGATGACCATCATAGCTTTGTGGCTCCATTTTTTTGGTCTATAGCGTGTTCCTACTCTGCATTTCCACAGCATGTTAGTGTCATCTTACATTAAACTTGATGACCAGAGCTGCCAAAATACTTTTGAGCTTTTCAAATATTTACCCCGAGTCCAATTTTGTATGACTTACTTATCTTCTCTCCACAGACCAGTAGTGGAGAACCTGTCTCATCCTTAAGGTGGCACTTTGACTTCACTGAAGTAGGCAAGGCTGAAAATGTGGCCGCTTTTCAGGTTTTGAAGTGAAATGGCATTTACTATGCCCCTTAAAGTCCCAAGAGCAGGAAAAAGTATTTTTTTTCCTGATTTTTTGGTTGGTCCAGGAGAGGATATTGAGGGATAAAATTAAATTAAAAATGGGCTAAAAATTCAGCCTCACACACTTTGGGGGGTTCTGGGGACTACAAATTAAGTGCTAGAGCAGTATGTTTTCTCCACACTTGCTGTAGATGACCTTCCTTGTCAGTTTCAGCAGATGTCACAAATTAGTTTCAGCAGCCCTTTAGTTCTTTCATCCCCACAGTCTCTTTTCTTCTGATTGCAGAGTGGGTGGGGTGATGTGAACATTTTGCTGTTTCATGGTGCAAAAACCTAGGAGGCTCTCATGTGCACTAAAAAGCTATGAGAAATTCTCACTTAAGTTGTAGATAAATTCTTGATCAATAAGTTAAGTCATCCAGGCAACACCACCACCATTTTGTTGAAGAATTTAAAATTGGTGTTTGCAATTTTCAAACTTTCATAGCAACTCCTGAGTGTTATGTGAGAATGTTCTAAAATAACTAATTTTGGATTAAACTTGTAATTGACCAGAATTTTAAAAAATGACCATTAAATATAATTATATATGTGTGTGTGTTTTAAATAGATTTAGCAAAGTTGATACAGGATTAGCTGGATGTAGAATTTTGTATAATGATTAGACACAGGATTGGAAATTATGATTTGGAACAGAACTGTTTAAAAGTGTATTTCATTCTAAAAGTACTTTGGCTTTTTAGATGAAAACTGCTCATTTACACACTGCTGCTGCTTATACATGTTGGGAAAGAGGCTAGAGCACTAGAAAGTTTTATAATAAACTTTGCCAGGGACCATCCATTCCACTTTCAAAGCATTCCAAGCGCATCCTTTCCCCAAAGCACCTTCTCCCAGTTTCTTCCATCATGAGCTGATGCTCAACTCTTATCTTGGGGATGAGGTGGGAGCATGGCAGGCAGCTGCTCTCCAACTGAAAAGTGAAGAATGACAAAAACACATAAAGACTGCATTTTGGCTGCCTCTGAGATGATGGCAGGCAGGGCTTGCCAGGATTTGGAATTTTGTTGTGGTTTGAAATGCATCCCAGCCAGATTGGATGCCAAAGGCATGTCCAGATGCAGAGATGCTGTAACACTATGGTGAGAGAGGGCTTCATGGATCTAGATAGCAAAAGTGGTTTGGGAATAATTTTGTTTTGGCTTTCTTTAGATTAGGGTTTTCCAAACGATGGGTTGCTAGGGATATGCAGAAGGCACATTGGTGCCCTTCAGGTGTTTTAGACTACACATTTCATCATTTCTGGTTAATTCCAGGGCCTGGAAGTTGTAAGAGTTTTGGTTGAAAAAAACTGCAGTCACTAAGCTACCTATTCCAAGCAGAGGTTGAAAGGGAGGTGTTCAAAATACAATCTTGTCCGTTTTTATCTTGAGTGTCATGGTAGATAACACTATAAAAGCAAGCTGAAGAAGTCTCCATAGGTCCACCTTTTCCCCAGGAAATGCTTTTGTTAATCCCCAGTTTTGGTTTTTGAGAATTTAGAACAGTTTGGGAGTATGTATAGAGACTCTATTTCTCTCCCTAAGTTATTACACAGACAAAATTTGCATCTGGCGATCTCTTACCTGTTGTCTGTTCAATGGATCATAGAGTTTCACTGTTGCCTTCTGCTACTTTTTTCTTCATGCTAGTCTGCCTCTCCATCTTAGATCTGATAGCTAATCTGTAGTATTTGACAAGCTGTTATTGGTCAGACTACAGACTATAATAATACACAAAGGGCAATTTTTGTCTTGTCTAATTTCTCTTCTTTGTATCTTGATCTTTCCAAATTCTCTGTGGTAGGATTGGCCTACCATATTTGATCATAATTGTTCTCTGGTGCCTTTTTTGTTGATACCAATGTTTCATTCAAATATGTTCTTTGGGACTATCTAGGAGGAACAGATGATTCCTAAAAAGATCCCAAACAAGAATTTATTAAATATTTTTTGGTTTCCCATCCCCTTTAAAAGAAACAGCTTCCATAAGTTTCAGTGAGGAAAAAGGCACACTGAAAATTACTTCAGAGTCAGTGCCACAAGCATTTTTCTCTCCCTACACCCTCCAGAAAATATTTCTTTTCCCACTTTAAAATATACATACTTACCTCACAGGGTTGTTGTGAGGCTCCATAGGTTGCTTTAATGCATTTACTTAGAGTTGAAAAGAAAAGTGCAATATAGAGAATTGCAAATAATTTTGTAACTAAAGAGGGTTTTACAATCCCCTGGAGAATATAGATTCTAAATAGAAAAGGTGCAACTTGTATATTCAAGCCTGATTCTCTCTGTTAAATTCTATGAATCATTAATGATGAGAAATTATGCTTTCAAATAGCCAAGTTGACTTTAACTACAACTCTATTTTTATTACTACAAGCATACAAAAAAGTTTTTCATTTGTAGAGAATGTTGCGCCAAACACTACAGTGTGAACAATATTCCAGTTTGGGTATACTAATTGTATGGGTTTAAGAACCTGAGTAGTTCATGATGTGCTATAACAAATAAATATAACTGAAAACAGATGTTCATTAAATTTTTATATTATATGCCTTCCTGTCTTTGGTATTAAGTCTCTTTCTTTACTGGTGACAGATGAATGTAAGATTAGATAAATGCACACACAATTGTATTATTTAGAAAACAAAGAATCTATGGGAGTCATAATATTTTCCTCGAACCCAGAGTAGGGAAGGAATGATCTTATTAATTATCAGAGGGTTCTATTTTACAAGATTTTTTTAAGAGAGAAGAATACATTGCCATTGGCTTAAGTGGTGGGAAGAGGAACTCTAACAGGAAGTGACACAATGCTCCAAAAGTTCTAAAACTCTTACCAGAAGTGAAAGAGAATTTTTCTGTTTTGTTTACCTTTTTTCCATGAAAACAACACTCCTTCCTATGCTTATAGGGGAAAAACATATTGAGAACAGCCTATTAGTTGGTCTAATCTCCTGTCCCAACTAAGGAGAATGTAGAGGTTGGGGGAGTTGAGAAGGGTGTTGGAGCCTTTAGGGCCAAAACTCCACACGCTCTACTTTTGGGCTGAGGTTGGGATTTCCCTCTCTTGGAATGAGGTGGGAGGGCAGGAGCAGATCCAATGTATCAGTGTATCTCCTCAACAGAGCCTAGAACTGAAAGAATTTTCTCCCCTTCTGGCATTGTTAAAAATGGTACCCTGAAACACTAAGCATTGATAGGGAGTAGAGAAGATGTCCCTGATGGAGATATGCAGGATCCATTGCCTAGGCCAGTGCTTCTTAAAGTGAAGTCCTAGGACCCATGGAGGTTCCCCTAGACCTCAGGGATCCACACAATCAAAACTTTTTGCCAGCCTATATTGAAAAATAAAGCAGTATTCAAATCCCCTCTAACAATCGTGAGAAGCAGTAGCGGCAGTAAATGCGTCAGCTCTAATTTTTAATATGGTAAATCAATAAATATAACCCATACAAACAAGTGCCTTTTTAGGGTCCTCCATAATTTTTAAAAGTGGGAAGGGATCCTGAGAGAAAAAAGTTTAAGCAAGACTGGTCTAGGCAAAAGGGGCTGAAGCATTTTTCAAGTCCACAATGAGGTGAAGTTCAGAAACTGCCCAGGTGGATGCCTTCCTAATTTGCTGAACTATAAGGAGGAGGAGGTACAGAGCAATTTTCTTGCAAGATTCTGTTATTACAGCCAATCTCAATAAAAGTAGTTTTAGCCTGCCTGTGGAGTTGACTTTCTGGTCTGGTCTACCTAGTGGAGCTGACAGCATCACCCATCTTTTCTAAAATGCAAACTATGTTGCAAGGGTGACATATCTATCAAATATTGGTGAACTGAGTTCTCATTAACATGTCTTGATTGAAAAGTAGGCATGGCTAATAAGACCATTTCAATAATATTTTTTTCTTTTTGAAGTGATGGGAACATCTATTATTGTTGCATAAACCCTTCATAATGGAAGAACATTATTTTTCTTAAATGATGAAGTAGTAAACATTTGTGATTGAGTATTCCCATTCATGCTAGAGATATTTCATTTCTTCAGCTGTAACATAATGCTGAGATATAGTCTGAAAGTTCATATTCTAGGGTTGCAACTGAAAGGAATTCTCTTTTTACGGTTACTTTTATTGTACCAGTAAAAAGCAAAGGAAGCATACAGTACTTTTCCAGGCATTGTAGGGGGATTGGTATTGCTATTTCCAAAATACTGTATGATTAGGTTTATTCCAGAGGAATCTCATTTAAATTAATGTAAGCTTAATGCCATAGTTAATGCAGTTGTTCTGTTCTAAATATGACTAGAGGTTATTCCAGATGAGGCTTTTATTGCACAATAGTCTTGCCTTAGCATGGAATTTTATGAGGAGTCAATCTCTCTTCCACCATTTATAATCTTCCGATCCTTTCACATACTTTTACCATCATTTTTCTTCCGAAGAACTGTTCAGAGGCTGGAGGGAGGCAGAATAATTGCACAGATGCCTCAATAGATCTGAATCCGGAATTGGCCCTACCTCTGCTGAGCAATTACTATTTTGGGGGAGTATTTTATCCATTAGCATCCATGGAAAAAATAGTTGTGAACAGTAAAGACTGAAGACCTGTATTAGGCTGTCATATCTCTGTTGTAAATGCAGACGTATACACCAATCTGATTCAAAATTGCATAGAAGAGTGACCATAAAGAGCAAGATGGCAAACACTGCTGCCATTCTTAAAGGTAACCCCAGATCTTAAGTACAAAAGTGAAGAGGATGAAATAGTAAGCAATTCTTCTCTAGGCCACTGCAGAAAAGGAAAGACAGAACAGGATGGTGGATCAAATCATGCCTGGATTAAAGTAAACTATTAAGACAATAGTGCAAGCGATAACAAGGAGTGAGGGGGTGAGAGGTGCAGCCAGGATCTTGGGATCCAGTGAGAAACTGTATAACCATATAGATTACAGAAATACAAAATAAAAGGATAGTAAGCTAACAATAAGGGCTTTATTTTTCTAAAACAGTGGTATTAAAGAGCATTGGGGAATGTTTCGTAATAATTGAACGTGGCTAAATAAAGGAAAGTTCTGACAGTGGTCTTCAAGAAAGCCTTTTGCTCTTGCTGTGCCAAACCAATAAATTACTCAGATGTTACTTGATTATTCCGATGTATTAGGGGGTTAAACAGCTCTGAGAGTAATGGAAAGAAGCCCATTACTGCTAATAAAGTAGATGATTCTATTGTGATTAAAATCGCATACAAACATACTGTAATGTATTCCTATTATTTGCACATCACACCAAACTCTAAGAGAAGAATATACTGGTGTAGGCTTTTACGGCCAGTATCTGTTGAGCAGTGTTGGGCTTCAGCGTTTAGTGACCGTGGGCCAGACAACAAATTTCCTGATGTTTTGCCAGCAACTGTGGCTGGCATCTTCAGATGCAAGGTGGCCTGTGTATTCTCTGAAGATGCCAGCCACAGTTGCTGGCGAAACATCAGGAAATCTGTTGTCTGGACCACGGTCACTAAACGCTGAAGTCCAACACTGCCCTCTAAGAGTAGAGCTTAGCTAAGCTCAAGAACTAATAACAATACTGAACATTCTCTGAAGACGCCACCTTTGACCAGGAGAACTGTAAGATAAAATAGATACAGCAAAGCTAATTCTAAAAAAGAGTCAAGTATGTAGCCTTGTATATGTCTCTTGAACATCTATCCAAACAAAAGAGAGTTCATACATGAGATATATGAAAATACTGTACACAGTCCTCTAAATCCATTGTCAGCTCTAAACTCTGTAGTAATTCCCAGCAGTGAAAGACAATCATGATATAAGCCACATTGTGTAAAATAGAAATGTATCCACGAAATGACTTGGGCTAAGATGGGGTTTTCTATAAAGATTTATGACTTAAAGAGATACATTGCCTAATAAATCCATGCTGTTTCTAAGTATCTGTCCCCCAACCCTGTACTCAACTTGCTAATAGTAAACATAGATCAGAGCCTCTTAATTTTCAAGGACAATGCTGGCACTTCATCTGGAATTTTATTCCTTAATAGCAGCAACAGCTGTTAGAGGATAAAATGTGAGACCAAATGCCAGCTTTGCCTATTAAGGCAAGATTGTCCTGAAAATTAAAATGCTTTTCTGTTGATCTTGTTTTTAGCAACTGACTTATATATTTCATCTTCAAAGAGTTTACATTACTATATGTGTATTCCTACAAAAGATCTCTACTGATGCATGAGTTACTACTGTTAAACACAGAATGCTTGCACAATAGGGGTTCCTTGTGAGGTCCATTAAAAGTAAATGTCCACTGCACTATAGATAATGAGGAATGGGTCTGGAGACCTAAGTTGGACTCTGTGATGCAAAACCATTTTCAGTCATAAAAAGGAAGGTATCCGTTCTGTTTGCTCCTTTACACTCATTTTATTTTCTGTGCTTTTTCTGCATAACACAGATAATTTTTTCCCTCCTTAATGTTGGCTTTGTTGTTATCATTCATTTTTGGCCATAGCGTCTTAAGTGAACTTGGCATATTTAACTTCCTACACAGTATTATGATGAATCAGTTGGAAAGTACAATATTTTACAGACCACTGGTCTAAACCAGTAATGATTGGTTTTGCCATTTCTTACATATTCTATGATAGAGATAATTTTTATTAGAGGTGATTGGGTATGACCACCTCCAACTAAAACCTGAACCATTGTAACAAGGACATCATTTCTTCCTGTAACCAGAGGTATGAACTTAATAGATTGGAACCAGTATTACATTTTGAAATGCTTTATTGGGCATTCATAGGAAAGGAGGCCAGAGCAAGATATTAATCCACCTAATTTAAGAATAGGGATGGAGGGCATTTTCATTGCTCTTGCAGCCATACCCATAGTTGAAGGTCTGATTCTTCATCATCCCATGTTATACAGGAGTAACATTCAGATCATCAGACAAGGAGAGACCAGAGTCTCTCTCCCTTGAGGTTTTCTCTGGCTTAAAGATAAGTTTGCCATCCCTATGCAGACTTCCACTCCTCAAGACTGTGGCTGGCTCTATAGCCAAAGGTGAATGGCGACCTATTTCATAGCAGAGGTCATCATAAGCATAATTCACATTGCCACAAGGGAAATTCTGCAGCTTCACCAGTTCAATTCCACCAATATCAATGTGAGGAGAATGGTTCTGACTTGGAGATGAAGGTGATGCCCGAGAACTAGGGGAGGGACTGTAATTCCCATCAAATCCTGAATCTTCTCGCTCTTGCATTGTGTTGAGTTTGGAGCTGGGACTGGATTGGCAATTATTCTCCATGACCCAGGATCCATATGTTGGGTTCCAAAGGTTTTTGGTTTTATTCTTCAACTTGTGTGAATCCAGTTTCTGGTTTAAGACTGGCTGAGCCCAAGCCCCACTGCTGGAATAATTGAAACATGGCATGCTTGGTCCTCTTGCTCTCCAATTACTAAGGTTTTCCACTAGTAGCTCTTGGGGACATTGTCCATATTTGTTCCTTGAATCATGGTCTTCAATTGTTTGGTGGCTTATCTGAGATGTAAGCG